ATGTGTCTTTCTCTCTGTCCCTCCCTCCCTCCCTTCTTCCCTCCCTCCCACCCTTCTTCCCTCCCTCCCACTCTATCTGAAAAAAATCCATGGACGCTTGTTTCTGGCCTTCCATGTTGTTGATACTCCTCAGGCTCTGAGGCATTGACAGCCAGTGTCCATTTCATCGATATCTTCTGTGATGTTGCCCTGACCAGAGTTGTATAGGGCTCCTCTAGCAGATCCCCTGGCATCTGGTACCTTTGGGCCTGGTGAGGTTCCCCCCACCTAAAAGCTATTACAGTAAGCTGCTGTCTGTGTCTTATATAGGTGGATATGCCAGGTGTCTTTGCTGCAGTTAAGATGCACAAGTGTCTTTGGGGCCTGTGAGTCTGCTGACCCTATAAAAGATGGCCAGTCGGCAGCTTGGGGACAGCTTTTAGCCAACCAGGAGCCTGGCTAAGCCCTTGGAGATAGCTGCTCTAGGTCACAGAGTCCATCTGTGTAACCAAGTCTCATCTTCAGAGACCTAAGCACCCCTCTTTGCCTCTCTGTGCTTTACACTGTGGCTCCTGGCTCCACCCTCTACTCGAAGCCTCCCTACTCCACACAGTCAGCCTCCAGTCTGTCCTGTGTACCGGTAAGTGTCCCCTTGCCATGTCCACTGCTCTGCTCTTGGTCACCCCGTTGGTCCGGGCTCTGTGGCAGGGTTTGCTTCACATTGCTGTCGGAAGGTGGCAAGGGTACTATCTTGTGGGGAGGGCACTGGTGTGGCGCCCTTCCGAAGACAGGTCTGCTCAGTCATTTATCTTGTTGGAAATGCTCAGTGACTTAGAGCCTATCAGGTGACATCTCTCCTGGATGTCAATCTCCACGTGTGGAGTACCTGCCCCATGCCAGCCTCAGCACGTGGGTGCCGGATCCTTCTAGCCTGCTAGCCTCACTTCCCTATGAGTTGGGTCTTGATTTGTCCTTCTGCATTATTTCTCTTGCCTCTCTCTTGTGGTCCTGGTCTTATATCCCCTTGTGTGTACATCTGCTCCACCTTGGGTGCTTTGTCAGCAGGAACCTTTTTCTGCCTCCTGTGCAGGCTTAAGGAAGCACACAGGGAGCTTGGACCCCAGACTCAAACATGTAGAATGACTTATCTAGTGCTGTGGTGTGTCAGCATCATTTTATCTTTCTTTATACATTAATACAGATGTGTCCATCTCTTAGCATTTACCCTCTTTTCTGGGATTTCTTTAAGGATCACAAATCTGATTCTGCAGCCCCATGTGCATACTCTTTCAGTAGCCTGGGATGTCTTTGTTTGGAATGGTCAGAAAGCTTTGTAGCACCAGCTGGACTGGGCTTGTTTAATTCACTTGAGTGAGGCAGCAGAGCCCTGACATGTTTGTTCATTTGTCTCTCAGCAGGCCGTTGCTGGGAAGATGGGCAGGGAGACCCGTCCTGTAGGGAACAAGGCAGTCTGAGCAGAGGGCCCTGGCCTCAGAACCCAAGCTTAACATGCCCCTTCCTTTCTAACAAATGTACATGTGGAGTGTGTGTGTGTGTGTGTGTGTGTGTGTATTTATTCACATGCTTCCATTCAAAGGGAACTCAAGCTTAGCTAATGTTCACTGCTTTGTCCTAGCAGAGCATCGGCATGATGAAAATGTGATAGGATTTCATCTTTTATTGTACATGTATTGACAAATGTACTTTTAAGATGTTTTCCTCATGTGTGTGGTCTGTGTCTTCCTCTCCCCAGCAAGAAACTTTTGAAGTTGGGGCTTATCTCTTGGGTCTCACCTGAAGAACCTGCACATCCCACATAGGGACCTTTGCCTTGGGAGGGACTGAGAGACTTGTCATGGCCCCTTTGTTTTACAGAGAAGGAGAGCGGAGCTGGGGTCCCACTGCTCTTAATGCCAGAATTAGGTGGGGACCCAGGCCATTCAGAAAGCAGGAAATAGAGGCTTGCTGGCCACTTAGCCTTCTAATGTACCCTTGATTTTGTACTAATTGTGAGTTATCCCTAGGGCTCAGCCCCTCTCCCCCTTGTGCCAGGGGTGGCTGTTTTGCTTCATGGTGACCACCTTTCCTGTTCGTTCCTTCTTGTGGCCCTGCCCTCTTACTCGCTCAGCCACCTTTCATCGTTCTGCTGGAACACTCCTCCCTTGTTACCTTTCCTAGACCTCAGTGAGGCTGGTGTGCTAGGGGACAGGCCTCTCTACCCAGGGGCAGTTGCTGTGCAGGGTCTTTTGGCCAGGAACCCTGCAGGAACAGACTCATAGGTGTGTCAACATCTCCTGTTTTTGTCTTTCAGTGAGGATGCCATGAGAAAAGCTGGTGTGGCCCACAGTAAATCCAGCAAGGACATGGAGAGCCATGTGTTCCTGAAGGCCAAGACCCGGGTAAGGCCCTAGTGGGCAGAGCCCATGGCAGAGAGGCTCAGGAAGGGGAGCATGTGATGCAGACTCTGGAAGCTCCCCTGCCTGGGGAGAGGGGAAGTGACGAAGTGGCGGCCACTCACTGATCGATTACAGGCACTATCAGCTTTGCCTGCAGCACTCTGTGGGTCTTCCTGTGTGTCTATGGTATAGGTGCAGGGATATTACTGGATGGTCTCCCAGGATGCAGACCCAGCATCTGACCCCAGACCTCACTACCAGCATCTTCCATTTGTGGTTAGCACCCATGAATCCTGTAGGATGTTCACGCAGGCCCCATCTTCTCCTTTAGAAGGGACAAATGCTCTGAGTAAGAACTGGCTCTTGCCTCAGCATCAGCCTTACCAGGGGGTCCTCACCTAAGACCCACAGGGCCCTGACATTTGGGCCCAGAAGAGTTCTTGTCCCCTTTTGTTAAGTGATGAAGGTGTTGCTAGTGGAGATTGAGGCCTTGATCGAGGAACCAGACATATTACTGGTAGAGTAGTTAGGAAGGATTTCCCATGTGTGAGCCCTCATCCTGGGCTGAGCATTATGGGCTTCATGTAACCACCTCCTTCCATACATGCACTCTCCTTGGGGTGGAGCTGTTCTGGTAAAAATGAAGCAGAACAGGCACAAAGAAGCCAAGCTGCTTGTCTAAGGTTACCCAGCTCATGCAAGGTGGGGCTAATGCCCAGGGCTTTTGTTCTGCATCACACCTGCGCTGTGTTTCTTACAGATCCTGACCTCCAGCCCCTCCTCCCCCATGCATTGTGTGTGCTCTGAGCATCTTGTGCTTGAGTGAGGTGTTGGAGGTCTAAGACATGCTATGTGTCACAAATTAAAAGATGATGTTATTTATGGTCCTTGATTGGTTACTGATTTGATAAACTATCAAGACACTTATAGGTCATTTGGGGAAATTTGAGCATAGTCTGAATGTTTAGATGAGTTGATCATTTTGTGAAATGGAAAGGTAGAGATGAGAGGCTAGAAAAGGCAAGTTCCAGAACCGAAACCATCTATGCAGTTTGGTCTTAAAGGTCAGAGCACATGAGTGTGTGTTTTTGAGCACATGCAAGTGCAAGGAAGAGCTCTGAGGCAGGGCAGGAAGGGCTCTGTGCCCTAGGTATATATGATAAGCATTTTCTTTTTTTTTTTTTCTTTTTTAATAACTTCATTGAGATCTACTTTATATGCTATACAGTTTACCCATTTAAAATGTACAATTCAGTGGTCTTTAGGATATGCACAGAGTTGTTCCACCATTACCACAATCTAAATTTTAGAGCATTTTCTGCCCAGCCAGTGTGGCTCAGTGGTTGAACAGCAACCCATGCACCGAAAGGTCACAGGTTCTGTTCCTGGTTGGGGCACATACCTGGGTTGTGGTCTTGATCCCCAGCAGGGGGCGTGCAGGAGGCAGCTGGAGGAGGTTGATGTTTCCGTCATTGATATTTCTATTTCTCTCTCCCTCTCCCTTCTCTCTCTCTAAAATAAAAATAAAAATAAAAAACATTTATAAATAAAATTTAGAGCATTTTCTAAGAGAAACTTCATATCCATTGTTATTCTCCATTTGCCCTCTACCCTTAGCCCTAGGCAACCACTTATCTGCCTTGTTTGAACTTTTTACAAAAATGCACTTGTACAGTATGTGTTTTTGTGACTCACTTCTTTCACTAGCATAATATTTTCAAGGCTCATCCATGAACCATGTTGTAGCATGTACTTTATTCTTTTAATTGCCAAATATTTTATTGTATAGATGTCACATTTTATGTACTTGTCAGTTGATGAACATTGGGATTGTTTCCACCTTTTGGCTATTATGAATAATACTACTATGGACATTTGTGTACAGGTTTTTGATTTATTTCTTTTGGATATATACCAAGGAGTGGAATTGCTAGATCACGTGATAATTATGTTTAACCTTTTGAGAAACTGTTCGACTGTTTTTCCAAAGCAGCTGCATCATTTTATTTTATTTTAGTATTTATTTACTTATTTTGTTAATTCTCACCCAAGGATATTTTTCCATTGATTTTTTTAGAGAGAGTGGAAGGGAGGGGGAGAAGTTGGGGGACAGAGAGAGAAAGAGGAGAAAGAAACATCAATGTGAGAGATACATTGATTGGTTGCCTCCCACACAGCTCTGGCTGGGGCGAGGGAAACCTGTAACCCAGGCATGTGCCCTTGACCAGAATCAAACTCTCGACCCTTCAGTCCTTGGGCCGTCACTCTAACCACTGAGCCAAACTGGCCAGGGTAGTTGCATTATTTTATATTCACATCAACAGCGTATGTGGTTCTAATTTCTCCTCTCTTTGTCAACACTTGTTATTGTTTGTCTTTTTTATTATAGCCATCATAATAATTGTAAAGAAGTATCCTGTTGTGGTTTTGATTTGCATTTTCCTGGTGACTAATGATATTGAATATCTTTTCATGTGTTATTGGCCATTTGTATATTTTCTTTGGAGAAATGTTTATTCAGATCCTTTGCCCATTTTATTTTATTTTAAAGACTGCTTTATTGATGGCAATTAGTACAAGTCAATAAATATTGATCCCCAAAGAAGAATTCAGTTATTTATCTGCATACCGGTCCATAGAGAGCTGAATGAAAGTGAACCAACCAGCTGATGGCTGGGAGAATAACTGAAGTCAATCCTGCTTCTTGGGAAGTGAAGCCATAGCCAGTTGATATATAGCATATGCTGTTCCACCAACTGTAAGAATCATGGTAGCTCTATATGGAAGAGCATCAGCTACCCCACCCTTTAGATGTACTGGAATTCCATTGTCCTCCTGAAAAAGCTTTGGTTTCCCTGAAACTTTATTTTCAAACCGCTTGCGTGAAGCAGTACTTATGGTCCTCTGAGCAATCTGATGAAGAGACAGCAGATTACGCAGCATGTTAACTCAGTTACTGCCCACCAACTGCGACGGCCAAACACCGGGAATGAAAATTGTCACACTAGAACCCTCCTTTGCCCACTTTAAAAGTGGGTTTTTGGTCTTTTTATTATTAGACTGATAGAGTTCTTCATGTATTTTGGATACAAGTCTCTTATTAGATATATAATTTGCAAATATTTGGGGGATGGGATGTTTTTATTGTTTTTATTAGTTTGTATTATAATTAAAAGAGCTTTGCCCTGGCCGGTTAGGCTCAGCTGTTAGAACGTCGGGCCGCAGACCCAAGAGACCTGGGTTTGGTTCCCACTAAGGGCACGTACCTCCGTTGCAGTTTGTCCCCGTCCCCAGTTGGGGTTGTGTGGGTGGCAACCAGTTAATGTGTCTCTCTCACATCGATGTTTCTCTCTCTCTCTCTTCTTCCCTCTCTATCTGAAGATGAATGTAAAAATATCCTCAGGTGAGGATTTAAAAAAAGAGCTTTGATGAGGGCTTATTGAACTATTTCAGCTTTTGAAATGCAGAACTTGCTGGTTCAGTATTGTTTGTTATCTATTGTTTCATACCAAAGTATCCGAAAACATGGTGGCCTAAAAAATCAGTGAATTGCCCTGGCCAGATTGGCTCAGTGGTTAGAATGTCGGCCTGCGGTCCAGAGAGGCCCAGGTTCGGTTCCCACTAAGGGCATGTACCTCTCGGTTGCAGTTTGTCCCTGGCCCTGGTTGGGTCATGCAGGAGGCAGCCACTCGATGTGTCCCTTTCACGTCTATGTTTCTCTCTCTCCCTGTCTTCCTCTCTGTCTCTTCCACTCTATCTGAACAAAAAAATGGAAAAATGTCCTCGGGTGAAGATAAAAAAAAAAATCAGTGAGTTATGTCTCCTGATTCTGTGGGTCAGTAATTGGGGCAATTGGAATTGCCTGTCTGGCATTCTGCTGGTCTCACTTGTGACCTGTCATCTAGCTGGCAGCTGTGCTGGGCCAGACGGTCCATAAGGCCTTACTCCCATGGCTGTACATTGGTTTTCCCTTCACCTAATGTCTCCAGCAGCATAGCCCAGGCTTCTTACTGCATGGCAGTTGGCTCCCAAGGAGTAGGGAGTGGAAGCTTCCTGTCCTTAGAAGTCTTAGAACATCACATGAGTACAGCAAGCCCTAATTAAGGCCTGTGCAGATTCAGGAGAGGGAATCCCCTCTACCTTTTGATGTGAGCAGCGGGGTGTGTGTACCGGGAGGCAGTGGTTGTCAGCGGCCCTCTCAGAGACTGGCTACCACAGAAACTCACAACAGCTGGGGAATAAGCCTTCTATCCCAAAGTGGGCGTCTAGCAGGCAACAGCCCCCTCACTGTCTTAGCCTTTGCCTTTCTGCAGCCCACAAACCAGACCTTAACAGTTTGAGTCCCACATCCTTTGTTTAACTCCAAGAAGAGGCTCTGTTTGGAAGAGAGACATTTATAAGAAGTATTGGAAATATCCTGTCTTATTTACAGATACAGACATAGGCATTGTTGTCTGGTGCCCAGCTTTTTACTACCGCTCATGTTCCTCATGGAGCTGCATACCAGTCATTGTGGCCTTTCCTCACAGGTGGGACTTGAGAGGACTCTCTAGGTCAGATGGCACCTTGCATGCTTGTTACCTGCCCCTCTCACCTGAGACCCCATTAGAATGACTGTGAAAGAATTTAAAAGATGGGACCCCAGAATAGGGAAAAGGATGGGAAAGAGTGATATCTCTGTTTTTTTCTGGACTCTGGAATGGGCTGGGAGGTGGAGAAAGCCATAGAGAAGAGGCTGACCTAACCTTGGAACCCTGGCAAGCTGGTGAGTCCACAAGTACCTGCCCTGAAGGAAAATGGGGTGCTAAAGAGCTGCCTAGTGTACACCCCAGGGCAAGGAAAACCTTGAGTACTCTTGTCTAAAAGAATTTACCAAATTGCCAGGTGTGAGCACACGCTTCCAGTGTGAATGTTAGCAACCCAAGGTAAAACACTTCCCATTCTGTCATTAGCTGGCTCCAGGTTTAATGACCTGACCCCATTTGTTCCCTCTAAATAATGTCCCTTTGCAATGCCCTGTTCTGTGTGTTTCACCTGTGTGAGCTTATTTGAACTCACATCAGCCTTATGAAGCAGGTACAGTACCACTCTTCCCAATTTGCAGACCAGGAGGCTCAGGTACACAGATGTTAGTTAACTTGCCCAGGAAGTCACACAGTGAGGCAGAAGTAAAGCCAGAGACCGAGGAGGCTGAAAGCATCAGAAATGGGAAGCCGCTTTGGGACTTACCAAAGAGGAGGGCCTGAGCTAAACAACTAGCCAGCTGGAATCAGTGGGGAAGAGGAAATTGGGCCAGGTCCAGTGGCATTCTTAGCAAGGGAGGAGGAGAATGCCTGTGAATGTCTGATAAAGGGAGACACTTTCCTACCTTTAGCCTCTTTAAGGGCTCTCACAAGCCTAGGTTCTGGCTTTTGCTTGAATCTGAATACATCTCCTGCTACCCCTCTTTAATTGAGGATAGTTATTAGACTGCCCAAGAATTTGGTCATTAGAAGTATTGTCTTAGAGCTTAGAAGAGCACAACTGTGGACATTAAAAATCTAAACACTTGAAAAGTCTAGCATTTTCTTAACAATTGCTGAGATCTGCTAGAAGGCAGTGCTCCTTTGCTCCATTTTGTCTAATGTGTGACAGTCCGAACTCCTGCACCATCCTTAATAAACATACTTGTTTAGAAGTTTAGTTGTGAATTCTGATTGTTTATTTTTCAGTAGCTATATTTTTAATAGTTAAATTGGGGCACTGAGAGAAGTACTTTACAAATACTGTCTAGTTTTTGTGACATTTTCTCTAGTTTACCTGTGAGGAAACCAAGGTGTATACATAAGTAAGTAAATGGTAGCATGGGGTTCTTTCTTTCTTCATTTTTAATTTAAGCTGGGTAAGGAGCCCCTGGCATTTGTTTTATTATTCATTTTTTGTATGTGTAAAATACTTTATAAGCTATAAAAATAAAATGTTAAACTATGTGAATCAATGCAATACTTATCAAAGATCTCATGTTGCTGAGAACACTGGCTCTGGAGCGTCTGCTCTGGGATATGATATATTTTTCAATATGTGAGGAAAACTTTCAAATAGACTTTGTACAAAGTGACAAACAAATCCTAAGGAAATTCAAGGAACTCAGAATAGCCAAAACAACCTGGAAAAGAACAAAATAGAAAAATTCACACTTCCTAATTTAAAAATGTACTACAGAGTTTTTAAAAAAATAACTAGTATAAGGATAAACATATAGATTATTGAAGTAGAATTAAGAGTCTAGAAATAAACCTTCATATTTACTATTAACTGATTTTTTTTTTAATCCTCACCTGAGGACATTTTTCCATTTATCTTTAGACGGATTAGGACAGGGAGAGAGAGAAACATTGATGTGAGAGAGACACATCGACTGGTTGCCTCCTGTGCAACCCCGACCAGGGCTGGGGACGAACTACAACTGAGGTAGTGCCCTTGGCTGGAATCGAACCTGGGTCTCATTGGTCCACAGGCAATGCTCTAACCGCTGAGCCAAATCGGCCAGGGCTTAACCAATTTTTTTTTTTGTTTGGACATGGGTGCCAGAAGATTTCAGTGGGAAAGAAAAATAGTCTTTTCTACAACTGGATTACCACATATAAAATATTGAGGTTGCACCCTGTCTTCACACCATGTATAAAAATTAACTCAAGATAGATCAAAGACTTAAGTGTAAGAGCTAAAACTATAAAACTCTTTTTTTTTTTTTTTTGGCACGTGCCCCTAGTGGGAACCGAACCCGGGACTCTCTGGTCCGCAGGCTGACGCTCCAACTGCTGAGCCAAACCAGCCAGGGCAAACTATAAAACTCTTAAAAGAAAACTTAAGCAGACATCTTCATGACCTTTAACTAGGCAACAGTTTTTACATATGACACCAAAAGCACAAGCAACAAAAGAAAACATTAAAGGTTAATTTGACTTTATCAAAATGAAAAGCTATTGCCCTGGCTGGTTTAGCTCATCGGTTAGAGTGTCGGCCTATGGACCAGAGAGGCCTGGGTTCGGTTCCCACTAAGGGTATGTACCTCGGTTGTGGTTTGTCCCCAGCCCCGGTTGGGGTCATATGGGTGGCAGTCACTCAATGTGTCTCTCTCACATCGATGTTTCTCTCTCTCTCTTCCACCCTCTCTACCTCCTACTCTATCTGAAGATAAATGCAAAAATGTCCTCAGGTGAGGATAAAAAAAGAACTGCTACAATTCAACAACAACAACAAAAAACTAATTAAAATGTGTGCAAAAGACTTAAATAGACATTTCTCCGAAGCATTTCTCGAAAGGAGATATACAAATAAATGGTCAAGAAATACTTGAGCCCTGGCCGGTTTGGCTCAGCGGTTAGAGCGTCGGCCTGCGGTCTGGAGAGACCCGGGTTCGGTTCCCGCTAAGGGCACGTACTTCGGTTGCAGTTTGTCCCCGGCCCTGGTTGGTCGTGCGGGTGGCAGCCACTCGATGTGTCCCTTCACTTCGATGTTTCTCTCTCTCTCTCCCTCCCTCTCTATCTGTACAAAAAATGGAAAAATATCCTCAGGTGAGGATAAAAAAAAAAAGAAATACTTGAAAGGATGCTCACCATGACTAGTCATCAGGGAAATGCAAATCAAAACCACAGTGAGCTGAGTTAGTATAGCTCAGTGGTTGAGCATCAACCCATGGACCAAGAGGTCGCTGGTCAATTCCCAATCAGGGCACATACCCGGGTTGCGGGCTCCATCCCCAGCAGAGGGCATGCAGGAGGCAGCTGATTGATGTGTCTCTCTTGTTGCTGTTTCTCTCTCTCTCCCTCTCCCTTCCTCTCTGTCTAAAAAAACCCCACAGTGAGATACCACTTCACACTCACGATGGCTATAAAAGAGAGAGAGAGAGAGAGACAATAAGTGTTGGTGAAGATGTGGAGAAATTGGAAACTCATACATTG